CTCTTCCGACTTTGAAGTTAAGCAGGCTTTGAGAAGGCTCGAGGAACAACTGAGTCTGGGAGATGATAATGCTAACTGTATAGATCCACTCGTCTGTCATAATGAAAACGTAGGATTCCCCGAGTGTAGGAGGGAGATCCCTGACTCTGCTCAGACAACAACTGCGCCTTACAGACTTGAGAGTAACAAACTAGAGAGATGTTATGGGGGTTATGTTGGAAACCATGACCATTCTAACAACCTCATGCTCGTTAAGAACGATTCGGGTATGCCATCTAATTCACAAAACTTTGGGGTTTTTTTACGCTTTTCCTCGTCCCCGTTTACTGCTTTGGTTTAAGAGTAAAGAGGTCTCTTCTTACCACAGGTAGTATAGAAGAATGTGGAGATGAAGCATCTGAATCTTGGAAGGATATGCTGGAGACATGTGAGGCTTCTCTAGTTCTTGACACTGAGGTGGTTCTCCTGTACTTGATTGGAAAACATCTGTATCTGTCGATTAGTTTCTAGAAGGGATTCCTAAACTAACCACAACTTTCACGGGGACATGGTCGATGAACACACGAATGTATTCAGTTCTGAATTTCTTCCTTCGGTAGACGAGATGTTGTTGGTTTACTAATCTCTGATAATGTCTAAAGGACAAATTGCCCTGAATTTTAACTTTCTGATCTAGGAATTTACTTCGTGCTAAACGCAGGAAATTACACGTTCTTCAAAAGGATTGCTGCCTGAAGTAGAAGATGATTCCAACTGGGATTATAGCACTCAGATCGAGCAGTGTATGAATATCTGCTTGTTAATAACTTTCATATGCTTTTTTATTTTGTTTGTGCTTGGCCGTTGATGATAATCGTCTTAAATTTCAGCTTCTTACTTGTTACCTCAAGAACATGCATCTTTCAATGTACGTGCATATTCTTCTGTACTGGAAGCCCATCATGAAAATGATGCTAAATACTATGGAACGATGAGCGACCAAGGGCGAGCACGGATACCCCTTGAACAGGAAGTGAGTCTGACAGTTGCACATGCGCAAAAGTTTACAATCCAGGAAATATCACCGAACTGGGGCTGTGCCAATGAAACTACAAAGGTGCACAATCCATATATCTTTTCCCGAGATTCCGGTGCTCGGTTTTTGCATACTTCTGCTCTAGTAATCGATATTCTCCGACATATTTTTACTGCCGCTTTCTGTCGATTTGTGCCCTAATGAATGCAAATCATGAATGGACTTTCCTTTTGAGGCTTCCATCTGGTCTTGCAGGTCATAATTGTTGGATCATTTCTCTGTGATCCGACAGAATCGACTTGGAGATGCATGTTCGGGAGTACCGAGGTTCCTCTTAAGATCATTAAGGAAGGTGTTCTTCAGTGTGAAGCCCCTCCCTTTCCACCGGGCAAAGTCACTTTGTGCATTACCTCTGGGAACCGGGTTTCTTGTAGTCAAATAAGGGAGTTTGAGTATCGCGATAATACCATCCAATATTGCACCAGATGCAATATGCCACAAACATCTACAAATCCGGATGAGCTGTTATTACTTGTAAGGTTTGTACAAATGCTTCTGTCAGATCAGAAATCGGACAGAAAAGATAATCTAGAGTCAGGCATTGATAATTTGTCGAGGAAACTGGAAGCTGATGATGATGATGATAAATGGAGCCATGTCATAGAAGCCATCCTAGACGGCAACGGGACATCACCGAGCACAGTTGATTGGCTTCTACAGGAACTGCTTAGAGACAAGCTGCATTCATGGCTATCTTCCAGATCACTAGGAGAAGGTACAGGATCTTCCTCCCTGTCCAAGAAAGAACAAGGTATTATCCATATGGTTGCAGGGCTGGGCTTCGAATGGGCACTGAACCCGATTCTCAGACATGGAGTCAGCGTCGATTTCCGAGATATTAATGGCTGGAGTGCTCTTCATTGGGCTGCACGCTTTGGGCGGTGAGGAGCATAGACACACATTCTCTTAAATAACAGTCTCGATTTAGAAATGGGTCTATTGTTCTTGATAAAGCTATTATGGATAACGCTCGCTTTGCCTTTGCAGGGAAAAATTGGTGGCTGCCTTAATAGCTTTGGGGGCATCTGCAGGAGCAGTGACAGATCCATGTTCACAAGACCCGATTGGAAAAACTGCAGCTTCGATTGCTGCTTCTAGTGGTCACAAAGGTCTTGCAGGTTATCTATCAGAGGTGGCTCTAACAAACCATCTCTCCTCTCTCTCACTCGAAGAAACCGAGATTTCCAAAGACTCTGCTCAAGTGCAAGCAGAAATAACTGTGAGTTCCATCTCGAAACCGAGTCTTCTTCCAGGCACCGAGGATCAGCTTTCACTAAAAGACACGCTGGAAGCTGTCAGAAATGCTGCTCAAGCAGCGGCGAGAATACAAGCTGCATTCCGTGCACATTCATTCAGAAAGAGACAACAAAGAGAAGAAGCTTGTCTACGGGAGTACGGGTTTCATTCCGAAGATCTCCAAGGGCTGTCAGCCGTGTCAAAGTTAGCCTTTGGAAATGCACGGGACTACAATTCCGCAGCTTTATCTGTTCAGAAGAAATATCGTGGCTGGAAAGGGCGTAAAGATTTTCTAGCACTTCGCCAGAAGGTTGTGAAGATACAGGTACGCAATTAATATAAGCAAAGAGATTTGTAAAGTTTTGCATATTTATTAAGAATGATTTACACGAAGATATATACAGCTTAGTGAAGAGAAGAATTAGGAAAGCAGAAGATTTTACGTAAAAGCAAATCAGTTTGAGAAAGATTCTCGCGGGATATATGTATATCCTTAACAATTAACACCCACAGGGCGAATTTCTCAAGCCGATATATGTTGCTCCACAAGTTCTGATCTTATTTTTTCTTTTGGGTGGCAGGCACATGTGAGAGGTTATCAGGTGAGGAAGCATTACAAGGTGATATGTTGGGCAGTGGGAATTCTGGATAAGGTCGTACTCAGGTGGAGAAGAAAAGGCGTCGGGCTACGAGGGTTCAGACAAGACGCAGAAACTCCGGACAAAGAGGAGGAGGGTGAAGATGAAGAAGACATTCTAAAGGTGTTTCGAAAGACGAAAGTCGATGGAACTGTGAACGAGGCTTTCTCTCGCGTCCTGTCGATGGTCAATTCTCCCGACGCTCAGCAGCAATATCGCCGCATGCTGGGAAGATTCTATCAAGCCAAGGTATGAGAAAGATATCGGTTTTCTTAAAATATATATAAAAAAACACACACACACACACGCGCGCTGTTGAATGACCCAGATAACAATGTCCTGTTGTGAATGAAGAGACTTGGAATACAAGCAACAGTTGACTTGAGGTTTTGGAAGTAGCTTGGATTGCAAGTAACCATGAGGAAGTTGTGATACAGAATACCATCTTGTCTGTTTCTTACAGTTGTTGGATTTTTTGCAGGCGGAGCTTGGAACAAGCGAGACAGAAGCATCAGCGTCAGCATCAGACACAGTGTTGGATATGGCTGAAATGGACAAAGACGACTTGTCCTTGTTACATTGAGTGGTATAGTCTCTTAGATTAGTTTAGTATGTAAATTAATTGGTAGTAGTTTCAGATATAAATATGATTCCTACTAAAAGCCCTTAGATTTTGTATACTCTGTAAATGTTCTTAGTCTGACACCGTGAGACTAAATTAAACTAAATGGTTTCAATTCAGTTCGAATTCAGGTTTGGTTTGTCGCCTATCGGATTTTAACCGATTTAGTTCGGACATCATTTATTCAATTGTACCAAATTAAAATCGAAAAATTATTCGATTTGATATGTACGATTTAGTTTCTCCAAAAATTAAATTTTCTAACCGAAATGATCACCCCTATAAGAAAGTTGGGTGTCAATTTTGGCCCGATACTTTAAATCCGATCCAACTTGAAAAATCACAGGTTTTGGAACAAGATATTTAGATCCGAAAATTTTTGGATTTCCAGAGCATACTCATTTCATCTGCATACCCGAATTTTTTTTCAAAACAAATTAATAAAAAGAATAAAAAATAAATTTTATAAACCAAATTTAACGGGGTCCAAAATCTAAGACTTCGATTTTGATTATTTAGAGTTAAAAAAATTGGACTGACCAGAGTCTGAAACCCTCGGATCGAGTCCAGACTTAGACCGGCCCGATTGACAACCCTACAAGAAAGCATCCACCACATTGTATTGTATCTATACAAACATATTCATACACACATATATATACATATATCGACACTGAAATCATTACAAAACTATGAACATAAACAATGCGAAAGAACACTACACTACTACAGCCATGCAGCAGACAGTTATCTTCAACTTTTTTTTTTGTCACAACTGAATCGAACGTGTGTAGTTGTACATACAATGGTTATATCTATATATATATATATATTTGTACTGTCTACATAACATCTCCTTTTCCTTTTTATCTTTTTCGCTTTCCGGCTGCCTTCTCGTTTGTTGTTTAAATATCAAAGGAAGAAGATGCCTCTTATCATGATGATGATGATGATCCTACATGATATGCACACCATGAATTCTTCATCCTTCTCCTCGACTTCACACTTGAATAGCATCATCTTCTTCTTCGGTCCGACAAAGGCCAGCCGAAAAGGGCGAAAGATACACACTGCACTAAACTTCTTTACCTTCTATTTACACTCTTTACCTTCCTTCAATGGCGAAATCAATTCTTCAGACCCAGAGACATGAAAGAAAACACCATCAGTCAGTTCACGGAAATCGAGTTTCGATGAATCAAGTGACAGAACAGAGATACTTTGCTTACGGTTCTTGACCCCGAGGAAGGATCGCTCGTTGTCTGTCAGCGTGTTTTTTTATCGACCCTGACCTGACCGAGAGGTCGCCACCATCTCTCATGAATCCGAGTCCGAAAGAGACTGAAAATATCGAGAGACTTCCCGGTACAACTGCTCTGCTTCAAAGGGTTTCGACACGTAACCATCCATTCCGCATTTCAGACATTCCTCGTGTGTTGCCTGGATCACATCCGCCGTCATTGCCAGTATCGGGACATGCCAGCTCGACGCTGTCCTGTTCCGCTGTTCGTCTTCGGATGCCTCCTCCCCGCTCTGAATTCTCCCGTTAATCTCCCGTTCCATTTCGCGTATTCTCCTAGTTGCCTCGAATCTGTTTCAAGAAAGGGTTACAAACCATTACAAATTCAATGCCTTCCGTACCGAAACATTCTCGAAATCGTAAGAAAGGAATACCCGACATACCCATCCATTTCGGGCATTTGAATGTCCATGAAGCAAGCATCGAACTTATGCGGCGGTTTGAGCAAAGAGACGGCCTTTATTCCGCTATCCGTTGAAACAACTTCAGCTCCGTATTTCTTCAGAGCTCCAGCCGCCACTCTGAGGTTTACGTTGTTATCGTCGACGATTAGAATCTTTCTCCCGAGAAGAAGATTCCTCAGACTCAATGCCGGGATTTCCCTGTTGAGAGGAGTTTCCTTGTTCCCGATTCCCATCACTCGCTGCAGAGTTGCGGCTAACATACTCGCCCTCAACGGCTTCATTATCACCGTCGGAGCGAAAAAACCACTGATTGGAGCATCCGATCTCGACGACTCAACGGAACTCGCGAGCAAAAACAGCTTCGGGGCATCGACGGAATAAGATTTCTGCAGCTTTTTGGTGAAAACGTACGATATACCGCAATCCCGGTTCCATATTTCTTGCTCTATGAATACCATTTTCACGGTCGTAACGCTACTCTTCAAGAACCGTAGAACATGATCGAGATCAGGAACTACCTCAACATGGAGCCCAAGACGCTGAAAATGGTACCTTGAGACTTTAGCCCTCGTGGACCTATCGTCCACGACCACAGCTGCCATGTCCCGGAACTCGAAGGCTATGGATTGGCTTTTCCTATCGGCCATGCGTAAGCCCTTACCGAAAACAGTGGTGAACGTGAAGGTAGACCCGACCTTGGGAATGCTCGAAAAACTAATATCTCCCTTCATCAGCCCGACCAGACATTTGCTTATGCTTAGGCCAATGCCCGTGCCACCATGGGTTCGAGATATGGATGGTCCGACCTGCATAAAAGGGGTGAAAATACGGGACTGAGCTTCTAATGGGATCCCGACCCCTGTGTCCTCGACTGAGACAATCAAATTGATTTCAGAAGCCGAGGGAGAGAAGCTTCGATGGGCATCCGAGGAAATAGCTTTAAATTTTTCCCAGCTCTTTCGCTTGTCTGCAACGGGAAACCCGCTTAACGTGTTTCTTGGCGATGTTTCTGTCTCGAATTCAATGGTTTCAAGTATCTCCTCCACCAAATGAACCGTCACAAGAATGTGTCCTTTCTCCGTGAACTGGCCGGTAGAACGAAAAAAGACGATCAGCTTTACGGATTATCATTTAAACCGAGCGATCCATAAAGAACGCATGATACAAAAGCTCTAACCTTAATTGAGTTACCCATCAGATTCGTCATTATCTGACGAAACCTCCCGGGATCGCCAATTAACATCTCTGGCACACGATCGGAAATGTACACTGCCAACTGCGATCAATGCCGAAAATTCAGACAATATGTTTCATGATTCAGGCAAACGTTGAAACGGAAAACACTATATATGTTACCTCGACCCCTTTTTGTTGGGACTTTCCAGAGAAGAGGGAAAGAACGTCATCTAATATTCCTCGGAGATCGAACCGGACTTCCTCGAGCTCAAGCTTACCAGATTCGATCTTTGCTTGGTCCAAGACCTCATTTATCAGCGAGACTAAAGCTTTTCCGCTGGCTTGCGCTGTCCTGACGTAATCTTGCTGCGTAACATCCAACTCCGTGTCCATGAGCATATGCAACATTCCTACACAGGAAATCAAATACCCATCACTCGAAATCGGATTCTTGAATTGAGGGGTGAAGATCAAAGAGGTAGAGAGACGGTTTTTGCATACCAAGAACACCGTTCATGGGAGTTCGGATTTCGTGGGATACAGTGGCAAGAAACTGCACAGAAACGAAAGCTAAATCTTAAATCTTTTTTCGGTAGAATGTGAAAGCGATTAACTGAGAACGTGAAGTACCTGAGACTTTGCGATATCAGCGGCCTCGGCCTTTTTCTTGAGCTGCTCCATTTTGTGAAAATCTTCTTCGACTTTGTGAATCCTGCTAATGGTTGCATGGAAAATATGCGCAACAAGCATCGCGATCACAAGGATACCGATCGATGTGCCTATCGATAGCCATGGCCATGGCGGCTTCTGCTTAAATCTACATAAAGAATAATGCCCAAAAACATGAAATTATGACTCAAAATTTCGTAAAGCATAGGTTACTACAGCAGAGGAAACCGATGATGAATACTACCTGCAACGCATTTCGTGCTTTCTGAAAGGATCGCCAAAGTTTAGTAGACTAACATGTTCCAGCCCGTCTTCCGCCACATTCGAACCATACATGCTAATCGGGTGAGAGCTATTACTAGTATCGTAAACATTCACGAGGATATCTTGCTTGCTTGCAAGCTGTTGAAGCAACTTCTCTACCAGAGATTCTATGTCAAAAACTCCCCCGAGATACCTACAAAAAACGGAGGATAAGCATATGATTCGACGGCATATACATACAGTTTTACCGGCATATGGTTCTCACCCGTTTGTAGCTTCGATCCTCTCGTCCGGAGTAGCGTTTGGGGGGAGATCCCTCTTGTAGACCGCAAATGTCAATATCACGCCGAGCCTGTTTGTCTTTAGCAGTGGAAAAGGAGCTGTAAGGACCCCTTTTCCCGATTCTCTTGCCCGTAACACATTTTCACGATCTTCCTGTCAATAACGAAACCAACAAGATCGACTCAAAATATGATCCACAGATTAGGACAAGACGTTAAAACTGGAGAAAGGGCTTACCTTTCCGGACAGCATATCGAGAGAAACGACGTGAGAAATGGTATCTTGGGCGAAGATGACGGGAGCATATTCATCTTGTAAAGGGGATGGCTCCAAAGCTTCGGGGTTATAATCATCCTTATGAACTGGATTCTGTTCTAAAGTATCCATCCTCCTAATACGCCAACCTTGTTGCATTTCGAACTGCTCTCTCTCTGAATGGAGCACCCTCACGGCATAAGCAACTCCACTGGTGAGTGGTCTCTCAAACGCTGTTCTGTCTGTATACTCGGAGAATGTCCTCTACACAAGTTTCTACCGGTTAGTTTCTGTTTCGCCCCACACGACCGGGAAATGGGTCACCAAGAATAGCTCAGAAAGGTGAAAACTTTGCAGTTTTTATACAAGAGAACGCACAATCAAGATTTGCAGAATTTGGCATGAAGAACACCGGCATTGATCAAACGGCAAAATCGTATGCTAAGGTACAAGATCGTTAAGCAAGTTTCAAATCATTTACAGAGGAGATAATCCGAGTTTCAGTTCAAGATACATAGCAATCTGATATTTGGATTACATCCTACACAGCATGAACCACTGATTTTTCCCCACTCTTTATGCAGCATTGACATGATTTTCAGACAGTAATCAGAGCTCCAGTAATCTGGGGATCAGTTTACAGATACGAGGATATCATAACCATTCAGGTTGTAAGAATACAAAAGGAAACAATGAATTAAGGGCAAACAGTGAGTGAATCCATTCATCAAGTACCTGATCGATGGCAGAAGGGTTCTTCCCATGGTGGAAAGTGGAGATCAAGATCGACATGGCTTGGACATGATTCAAGCTGACGTTGAACTGGTCCTGAAGCATCCGAGCTCTCTCATCGCACATACTTGCCAGAGTCTCTTTCCTCTTCTCCATAGCCTGTGAGGTCAAGTACCAGAATGTCCAGAACGAGAGCAGGACCCAGCCGATGACCCACGCGACCAAGAGCTTCCTCCACCAGGTCTTGCCGAATCTAATGGAACCCATGAAATGGTGCCAGAGAGTCTGGATCTTGAGACAGCTGTTGGAGATCTTGTTCCAGAACCACATCTTCTTCTTCTTCACTGCCATTTTTGTCTTCTCTGAGTCACCGACAGAACTGCCAAGCAGAGGTGACTTGTCCTCGATCCCACCATCACCGAACCAGTTCATGGAAATTAAGGAGATGACCCAACAGCATAGCATCCAGAAGAGATGCCCCACTTTCAGGCCAAACCCAATCACATGGAACAGATTCATCCACCAATCGCTAAAGGGACCAAAAAAAACCCAGAAACGGGGTAGTTTGAAGAAGATTAGACACAGAGAAGAAGGGGACTTCAAGGACCCAAGAAGGAACAAACACTGTACAAAAGGGGAGAGAATCGCGGAATCAGAAATCCCGACCAAGAATTTCGGGTTTATCCTGTTAGCCACCCACGAAAAGAAGAACAAAACCCAGAAACAGAAACGGGTCAGATTAGCACAAAACAAGGCACAAGATTAGAAATTCCGGAGTAACTCGGATCGAGATGGCGAAAGAGAGCAACTTGACAAGAGAAAACTTAGGGTTTTAACAGGAGATTCCTCGAAATCAAAAACAGCTAAAGGAGAAAAGAAAGGAAAGCTTTTTCGTTGTAGGCGTGATGTGACGGAGAGATGATCCCAATAGAACAGACTTTGAAGCTCGTATGATCTAAGAGAGAGAGGATGAATTCGAACAAAGCAGCAAACAAAAAGATGGAAGTGGAGATAAGTGGCAAAGGGTATTTGAAGAAGAACAAACGAAGGAAGAGGAAGAAGGAGAATCCATCATCGGGAAAGATGAGAAGAATATGGTGGAAGACAAATGTCTGCTTCCTATGTCCATTATCTCTATCCACACTCCCAAAAAAATATATATACCACTTCTTGTAACATGTGTAAATATAAATAATATCTTGCAAAAGTTATATTTTTCATACATATAATTATGATATAAGAAATCAACCCAGACCCAATAATACCTACAATTATACCTTTCATTGGTAAAACTCCTGAGATTTTTTCTTCATTTGTTTACAATTTTATTCTTTTTTTTTTAGAAAAAGGAAATAATTTTTATATAATTATTATGCTTTTTTTTTTGGGTGTATGGGAACTTATCCAACCCATGGGAAAACAATGAATGCAATGTGAAGAGATATTCTGATACTTGAATGAATTTCATAGTCCCCCCATCCTTTGTCCTTTTATTATTATTATTATTGTGTACACTGAATAAAATAAAATAAGAAGAATAAATAGTAGGTATTATTAATACACTCTTGCGTTAGAAAATTATATACGGGCCCATGTAAAAGACATGTGTGTTCTCACTTCTCACCCATCCAATAATAAAAAACGACAATTAAATTAAAAAAAAAAAGGCAGTGTTAATATGTGGTGCAAGAGTAGGTTAAAGTGACAAAATGTTTTTGTCATTTAATATAAAGGAGGGGATATTAGTTTTAAGGAAACAAAAAAAAAAACCCACAAAATAATACAATCTTAAGATTCTAAATTAACTCATTTGCTGTTGCTTACCATCAAAATCAACCTATATTTTATCAGAAACAACGCATATACACGATTTTAAAAAATGGACCGAAAATTCTATTCATTTATGATATAGAAAATAAATATTTGTTTGCTAAAAACTGATTAGAGACATCATTACTTCTTCCAAAAGTATTTCTCCAATGTTTTTTTTTTGGTTAATTTTGTATGTTTGTTTGTGTTCTTTTGTGTTAACATCTCCCTATCCGAAACCAAACAAGGTACCCAAGCTCTACACGCCATCTCGTTCAACCCTTTGGGGATTATAAATTCCCATATTTTTGAATTTGACGGGAATACCCCTATACGTACATCTAATTCACGAGAATGCCATTCCCCATTGGGGCATTAGATTCCTCCTGCTTTTTTCACTCGGAGCTTTGTTTGTTTGTTTGTTTGGTTAGAGGGGTCCAAAAAAAAAAAAAAAAGAGCAGAGCTTATCCCAAAACGTGAGGAACCTCTCGAGGTGGCTTTTACACCAAAATTATTCGACCACGTCGTAATAATAATAATAATAATAATAATAATAATAATAATAATAATAATAATAATAATAATGATAGATCTTATTAAAAAATTTAAAATTATAAAATAATAGAAAACTAATTTATAAATTTTTCGTTTGACAGATTTTTTTTAAATTTATAAAGTATGTTATTATAATTTCTAAATTTATAAAATTTACTATTATAATTTTCAAATTTATTAATTGATGTAAAATAAACATTGAAGACGTTATCAAAATTCGTTTGACAATTATAATAATTTGTTTTATAAGTTTAAAAATTATAATTATATATTTTATAAATTTAAAATTAAATTTATCAAACGAAACAATTAAAAATTAGCTTTTCACCATTTTACAAATTTAAAATTATAAAATAATAGAAAACTAATTTATAAAGTTTTCTGACAAATTTATTGTAAATTTATAAAGTATGTTATTATAATTTCTAAATTTATAAAATATACTATTATAATTTTCAAATTTATTAATTGATGTAAAATAAACATTGAAGATGTTATCAAAATTCGTTTGAGAATTATAATAATTTATTTTATAAGTTTAAAAATTATAATGATATATTTTATAAATTTAAAATTAATTTTATCAAACGAAACAATTAAAAATCAGTTTTTCACCGTTTTATAAATTTAAAATTTTAATTAGAGTTATCATTATAACAATATCTCCACTTGGTACATACATTATGTACGAATTAATTTATCACCATACCATGTATATGTGACGTATGGTAAATGGTCCACGCAATTGTTTTGGCAAAACACACACTCAGTTCCATAATTTTATCAAACGAAACAATTAAAAATCAGTTTTTCACCGTTTTATAAATTTAAAATTTTAATTAGAGTTATCATTATAACAATATCTCCACTTGGTACATACATTATGTACGAATTAATTTATCACCATACCATGTATATGTGACGTATGGTAAATGGTCCACGCAATTGTTTTGGCAAAACACACACTCAGTTCCATAAAATTTTCAACATTACTTTCAAAACTTTTTTTTATTTGATAAAACATTATCACAACGTCAAGTTTTTTCAACCTTAAATGGGTTATATATTTCAATCTAATTTGAATCTTTTTTGCATGAAAATAATCTCACTAGATCAAATTCTTTTGATTCAAAAGAAAATGCTTAATTCATTTCATAAGATCAATAATAATAAGATGTCAAATTTAATCTGTAATAAAATCTTTTAGGTCCTACATGAGATCTTAATATAAGATCAATTAACCGTAAATATCATATATTATTGTTGAATAATTTAGTTTACATAAGATTATTTAGTTGAAATATAATAGACAAATCGATAATTTAAAAATAATTATTATTTTTTATTTTAATTAACCTATTTTTATGTAAAATTGTTGCAGTAGATAAATAAAGGTCAAAATTTTATTCAAATAAAAAATTAAATTTAAATACCTTTAAAATATAATATGAAACTATAGATTTGAAAAAATCATATTAAAATATTTTTGTAATTTTTTTTTGAAAAAACAGTATAAAATAGGAAACAAAAAGTTTCACTTTCATTATCTAACCACAATTTCCTATTTTCAATACAAATTTCGATTTTAATTAGAAAGCATCATGGTTTATTTAATAAAAACGAGAGGGTAGAAACGTAAATACGGCGGAGAGCCGAGGGCAGTGGCAAAAGCGTAAATAAAAGGGGGGAAAAGGGATGGGAGCACTTTGATCAAGGCTTAGTAGTCACGAAGTGATTAGGCCATCACCACCAACCTTTTTTTTAGGTTGCCTTTATAAAATTTTCTTTTTATTCATTTTCACTATTTTCCAGTTTTACTTTTTTACCTTTCACTGTTTTTGTTGGTAAAAATGGTGATTACACAGCAAGAGCTCCTCGCTTGTCCCTTTAGCCATTTTTTTGACAGTGACGCGTCCAGACGTCAGCTCACCGGTAACTTCTGCAAAACCAATGAAAACGAGCCACATGTCGCGATGGCTAGCTATTCGCCACGTGTCAAGTGCGGTGCATTAGATTAAACGCGGAGCAGGCTTTTGCCACGTTTTTCGAGTGGGGCCGACCCAAGGTTTTTATTTTATAAACAATAAAAGTTAGACCTCTAAATCCTAAACATTTATGGGGAAAAAATAAATAAATATTATTTATAGTCATTGGCATATGTTGACAAAAGAAAATGGCAATCAATGAATTATGATCCAAAAATCAATTCATAACATTTCAAATAAAATAAATTTTCATTTATGCACGATTTCACTGATAGCTGTGCAATAATAATTAAAAAATATTATTTTCGGTAAAGTATGTCATGGTAAAAAAAATCATTATAAGCAGATTCAAATAGTAAACTTAGGTTTTTATTATCACGGTTAGCCTTTTTAACATCTAACGCTATCACCATCATTGTTATGAATAAATTTACAAAACTAAGGAAGAAAAATCATCAACCGTTGATTCCATCAGTCACATTTTTATCTAAATCGCCAATATGGAAAAGACCATTGTTTTTTTTTTCATCATAGTGCACCTATTAGGGTTGACTCGTAATGAACAATATTCGAAAATTTTAAGTTATCCGAATTTGAAAACGTCTTAACGGTGAATCCAAACGTGGACCGATAAGGGTATACATTTTTGGCGATTGACCCTTGTTTCATATTCGTTTTCTAATGGTGATATATATAAAAATATAAAATACATTGGACCGGTTCGAATTAATGTTATCATGACCGTGAAAGCTTTATTTTTAAGCTACAAATAAAGACATACCAGAAAGGTAGTTAAGACAATAATTAAAAAAGAAAAGAAAAGAGCTAATGACATCACAGACAAAGGAAACGTCAGAGATTGCGGCAGAGCCAAACACCAGAAACATTCACCCGACTCTATGCATGCATGCTTTCGTCAACACCCAAAAATTCACCAAATGAAGTACAACACCATATAATATATATATATATATATATATATTTTATAAATTATGTAAAAGGATAAATATAGAGAAGTGATTATTCAAATTCTAATCATCTGAGCAATCATATAGAGAAGTGATTAATAATTTGTTGCGAGACACGTCACGCACGAGGCATCATTAGATATGAAGTATCCCTTGTGCTATTGGGTTTCTGACGTGGCACGTCAGAAACTCATTCGTGGGC